TACTACTTCTCACTAGCTATTTTAGCTTAGTTATTTCAAGCCAAACTGTGTTTTACAGCTCTTTCAACCTGATTCATTCCACTTACTGGAACTTCCTGGCTCAGTTAGGTTGTTAAGGGCATCCTGGAAACACACCTCAATTGGTTTTTCCCTGGACAATATGATTAACCTCCTTCTGTTGCCTACTAGGAGTTGAAGGAATTAGTTACCAGTTGTGAGCCATTCTTTTTCAAGGTTGCATTGAGCAACCATGGCCACATGGCCAAGAGCCGCGGATACCCAGTTCTGCACAGTTCCAGTGTAGGACTAGCCAGTTCAGGCCTGGACAAGCGATATTTGCTTAGTCCCCCAAGTCCTATGCATGCTAGTAATTTCTCGTACAGTTTCAGTATTAGTTGTCATGTAACCTTCTTTGGCTTGGGAACAGCTGTTTCACTGAGCACGACTGGTATCATCTGTACTGCGAGGCATATAACACAACTGGTGTAAATGCATCAAAGGTGTCTGGGCACTGGCAGGAACTTCAGCATTGAGATGTTTTCATTCAGATTAATTTTCTATATACTGGTCTCTAGGGAAGGTGTTTTAACTGAGAGTGTGTGTGATACTTTTCCAGCTGCTGTCTTATGGAAAGGAGTTTTCACACCCAGTATCCAGTCTGTCTTATCAGTATATGGAAGCATATTAGTAAGCCAAGTCTTAAGCTGAGTGTGGACATGCAGCACTTAAAAACAAATGAAACAGTGACCTTATCAATGTAAAATAATTTGATTGATAATGCATTCCTTCAAAGGAGGAGGATGTATGATTTGTTTTCCCAGTCAAGTAGTACCTTTGGTTCTTTGTCTAGTGTGATGTTCAGCTTCTCAGTTTTGCTGTTATCAGTTGCAATGGAAAGGTCCATTAGGAGCATCTGAAAGAGAAAGAACTGCAAATATAACTTTCTTCAGTTCCTGATGACATTTTCTAAATTCTTTTAGTAGTAATAGTGCTAAAATTATGGAAATTGTTTATTAGAAATACCAAACAAACCTAGGTGAAAATCAACATCAAGAAGAACCCTCAGTGGTTTGCCAGGCATATAACTCTGGATTAATGATCTGGAGAGGTCAGTTGCTGGAATAAAAAGTGCATGCAGAAAATTGATATCTACTTGAAAATTTATGAGTACAGTGTGAGACATCTGTGTGCTTTCTAATGGAATAATTAGAGTGAAATTCTCCACTGCTGCATTAAATTCAGATTTAGTACATCAGTATCTCCCAGCATGAGGGAGGTTGGCTCCCTGTAGGGTAAAAAGATAGAGACCCCACTGCTTTTAAAAAATGGAATACAAGTCTATTTCTGATTATTCTGTATCTCTTGAATTCTCCTGAAGAGGTACAGGAGATAAAATACTACATGTTTGCCAGCGTATAGTAGAAGCAGCTGAAAACCAGAATTGGTTGTACATGTACAAAGGTAGAATGTTGCACACAGGTTGATGGAGATAAGTTGGTCCCTAGTAACAGCTTTCAGTAAACTTCTCCCAAAAGAATAGCTTAGAATCCTTCTGCATCTTCACCACTTTCCCAGTTCATCTGAAAATGTATTTATTTGTTTTGTTTGATGCTGTGTTAGTGCCAAGAGATCCCAGTTGGAAATTAGAGCATCTCTGTGTGAGGCACTGTACAAACCCACGGCCATGTTAATCATTTTTGCCTTGGAGAGTTCATGTTTTGTGTGAGTAGAGGAAAAAGATCAGACTTGGGCATACCTTGAGTTTACTTTTACATGTTAGCTGTGAACTAATGGCCAAGTCTTGTGGCTCTGCTCTTACAACACGCATTCAGGCCATTCCATGGTGTGTTTCTTTTTGTATGTATAGCTAACAGTGCTTCCATATTTTATTTTCTGATTACCATCAGTCCAAGTGAAAGGGTTTAACTCTGTTGGTAGCTGGTGATTGGTACATCCAGGCAAGTTGCTTCATCTGTTTAATGGGACCATACCCCTACATTTATGATTCAGTACACAGCTATCCTTTATGAAGTCATAATTTTGCAAGCGAGATACATAAGCTTGTATTAAAACACCAACATAGAAATAAATAGTTAATCTTGAAATAGATTACTCGGTGGTTTTGAGACACAACAAAATAAAACACTCTTAGAACATGATTTTGCTAGCTGGCTTAGCAAATTGACAGCCTTCAATTAATCATTACAGACTTTCAGTATAACTGAAACCACATGATTAAAAGCAAATGCCTAAAAGGGGAAATGAAGGTTGCATGAGGCAGAAGGGTTTTCCCCATCAGTGGGGAACATTGAATCCACATGGCTAACCAGAAGGCAAATGCAAAATAACTTTATTTTCTTGTTTTGTACTCAACTGCTACTTTTTTTTTTAAGAAGTGAAAAATCATTTTTACACATTGGCACTATATGATGATAAGCTATAAAGTTAGATTTGGAATTTAACTGTAGGTGGTAGCAAAAGTAGTTTCTTACCTCAAACATTTGTGTTGTCATTTGAACTTCACAACTGATTATGGGGTTCTGGCTAAAATTCCTGCTAGTCCAAATTAGCTGTGGTAACCTGAAGTGCTATGTATTTCTTGCATCAGATTTGAGGTAGACTGGGAAGTATGTTCTCCTTTATATTTGTAATATACTGAGGTGCTTGCAATGTCCTCTTTCAGGGAATACCTTTCTATATATATATTTTTTTTTCTTGAGTATTATATTTCATGCCTTTCCAAAATCAACTGTGGTTTTTTTCTTTGTTTTCTTAAAAAGACTCAGCCAGCAAGCACCTTCAGGATGCATGACTTACTCAGTTGAGGAAGTAAGGGTGGAAATTTTAAAAGTGCTTAGTAGGAAAGAAGTGGTAGTTTTGCTTACACTCTTGAGGGCTTCTGCTGTGGTTATGGGCACATTATAACTTAGGCTTTGATACCTGATTTATGTGAGCTTGGAGCTTGCTAATGCCACTGTATCTGCACATATCCGTACCCTGCTCCATATGTGCAAGAGTACTGATATTTTTCTTGAGAGGTAAGTTATTTGCTGTTACCCAATGATAAACGCATGCACATGAGCAGACACTTGATTCACACCATGGTAAGTTGTTGTGCCCATACTTTGTTGCTTAAGTACTCTGACATGAGACCCAACAAGTATCAGCCCACAGTATCAATATAGAGACATTCAGAATATTGTTCATGCATTGAAAGGTTTTTTAAAAAAAAAATTTAGGCAAGAGCACATTAACAATTCATTTTTTAAAAATAATTGTATTCATAATTCTGATAGTGCTCTAATATTAATATCTATGCACTAGTAAGACTTTTTCTAAGTGTTTTGTAAATACTCTGGATATTCCTCTAAATTTTCAAGGTTTGTGTTATTAAAATATTTGACGTAAGTGAAACTTGTTTGTATTGGAAATGCATTTTATTATCGATATATAATCATTGTTTAATTTGCATAAATTAAGGTCTTTTTGTTGTTTCAACTCTTACCTTATTGTTTTATAAAGCGAGTGATAGACAGTCAAGCAGAGAAACTGAAAGAACTGGACAAAGAAATCCGTCCCTTCCGTCAGAACTGGGAGGAGGCTGACAGCATGAAGAGCAGTGTAGAATCCCTCCAGAACAGAGTGACTGAGCTGGAAAGTGTTGATAAAACTGCAGGGCAAGGAGCTCGAAATACAAGTAAGTGTAAGCACAATGGACTGAAGTATTCAGCAGTGCTGTCAAGAGAAAAATGGTGTCCTTTGGATGGCACTCCCATTGTGATTTTTATGTGGAAGCGTCAATAATGCCAATTCTTCTGATTTTTTTTTTTTTTTTGAACAGGAAGCTGCGTAATCCCTTTGTTGAGGATGTGGCATTGCTTCCACACTGTTTCTTAGGCTTGATTCTTGCCTTTTATTTTGTTTTCTTGACACTTGTCTTAATTAAAATGTTAGTTCATTATAAATAATTCTTCAATTGATCTTTGACAACTAATAGCTTTCAGCAACTTCTTTAAATATAGTCTCGGTATATTGACAAGTCATCTTTTATTACTCTTTTCCCCCATGAATGGATCAACGCTATGGTTATCTGCTTGAAACCACCTATCCTGATATCTGTTACAGAGATCTATTTTATTCAAAGAAAACTGTGAGATCTGCTGGAGAATAAGGTTATTGTCGTACTTGCTGAATAAAGTGAAAACTGGAGTTTATCAAGATAGTGTAGATCATATGTAAACATTTAAATTATTGGGACGAAGAAGTTAACATTTAAATAGATCTGTATAAAACAAACCTGCCTTACAAATTCATCTTCTTGGTATTGTATGTTGGCCAATTTTGCCAGTGTGTAAAGACAGAGTAATATTTGCATGTGAGGGAAAGGGGACACTAAAAACACCGCTCCCTCCAAAGTAAATAAGTGACCATATAATACAGAGCTAAGCTTGAATTTTCTGTTCTTTTATGATAAACTTTAGACATAGTAACAGCACTACACTTCTGAGACAAGTAGTGTCTGATAAGATTTTGAGTGATCAGCAGTGCTTCTGAATTTCCAGAGGGATAATGTAGGATGTGCGACCGCTTCCAAGGTCTTCACTGCTAATAGCAATCTACAGATAATGCTACCAAGTCTCCTCTCAAGAAATGGAAGCCTCTGTAGCTGTATTGCTTAGTGACCAGGCAAAATTTATGTTAGATGATTTGAATATTTGACTTTTACTGCATGTGTGATTAACACCCGTGTTTGTAAAAATCCCAGTTAATCTAGATACTAGCTGGCAAACTATTGTCTGTGGAAATTGTTTCATCTGTGACCAGAATGCATTTTGGTTCTTGAGGAGGACAGTGTTTTCATATACAATAACAGCATTGGCGATTGATTTTTACGGTCTTTAGAAAAAAACACTTTTCTCACTCCCATCCTTTCTGCTTTCTAACAGGCCTGCTAGAGACACAGCTGAGCAGACATGATCAGATGCTGAGTGTTCATGATATTCGGCTGGCTGACATGGACCTCCGATTCCAAGTTTTAGAAACTGCCAGTTACAACGGAGTATTAATTTGGAAAATTCGAGATTATAAACGTCGGAAGCAAGAGGCAGTCATGGGGAAGACTCTGTCCTTGTACAGCCAACCCTTTTATACTGGATACTTTGGCTACAAGATGTGTGCCAGAGTTTACCTTAACGGAGATGGCATGGGAAAGGGGACGCACTTGTCGCTGTTTTTTGTCATAATGCGTGGAGAATACGATGCATTGCTTCCTTGGCCATTTAAACAGAAAGTGACTCTCATGCTAATGGATCAGGGGCCGTCTCGACGCCACTTAGGAGATGCTTTCAAGCCAGATCCAAACAGCAGCAGTTTCAAGAAGCCAACTGGAGAAATGAACATTGCATCTGGCTGCCCAGTCTTTGTGGCTCAAACTGTTCTAGAGAATGGAACGTATATTAAAGATGATACTATTTTTATTAAAGTCATAGTGGATACATCGGATCTACCAGACCCCTGACATACAATGGGGGAGGCAGATTAAACAGAAGACAACTCCGTTTGGGGGTTTTATATCAGTTTGTCTTCAATCAGAGGTCCTAAAGATCACAGAACCACCTTGTGGAACAGACGGAAGAGTTTGAAGGCATAACTGCATAGGGTCCAATTGCGAAAGTAGCAACACATTAAGAAATCATACCATGGTATATTTTTTAATAGAACTAGCAACACTTAAGCTCTGAAGAATCACTTATCCCTCATGAGGATAATGATTATGGTCAGAGAGGATTTTTTTTTAACTTATTAATGATCTAGTCAATTGGAGGTGAAAAGACATATACAGTATGTGCTGAATAAATTACTGACTTTTATTTCTTTAAGCTAGAATACAAAAAAAACTTCACACGTGGGCTAGCTGGAAATTGTCAGCATGTTAAAAGAAGAAATGATGAAGTAATGTTGCAATTATGATATTATTTGAAAAACTGAGGTGCAATCTTGTCTGAAATATAGTATATTGTCTTTTTAAGGCCTCATCTGGTCTCTGTTTTAATAATTACTTTGTCAGAAGATCTTGGAAAAGTATCCATGTCTTCTCAAAAGTATCTGAATCAAAATCATATTTTTATTTAAAGTTCTATTGTTACAGAAAACATTTTATTTTAAAACTGTTGATAGACTGATATTTCTTGGAAGAAAAATAGAAGATATCAAACACTGGTTATCACTTGTGATAGGAAAAAAAACTATTCAATTCTGTTATTTCTCTTTAGAAATGTAAACCTACAATATATGTCGTAGTTAATGACACTATTTCAAAATTAAGGAAAAACCACTCATGGATGCTGTGCATCATTATCAGATTTATAATTGTTTTCACCCTAAAATAGGGCATTTGTTGAACTTTGGAGTTCTAAACGGAATCCTGTACATTTTTTAAAGTTCTGCCCCATGCTTTCCAATCAAGCTATATATGTTGCACATTATGCTGTCAGCAGTATATAGTATTTTCAGTATTGGGGAGGAGGATTAGTGCTGAAAAAAGCCTATATGTTTGTTCTGTACTAGCAACCATTGCTTCTTAAGGACAAATCAGCAATGTCTTAATACAGTGATGGTGGCTTGCATGCATACATGTGCCTTAGATGTGCTGTGCTGCTTATAAACCATAGCTTCTTATTCAGATTAATTCTGATATCTGAAATGGTAGTTTAATTGGACTTCAGGCATAATGTTTAGCCTTGTCTTCAGAGCCCTTAGGTACCTTGCAATGTACAAAATAGAAGCCAAAGCCCATTTCTTTGGCTTCTGGAGCTTCTGTGACTTGGCCATGGTGGAATCCATCTTATTCAGGTGCCAAAACGTTATGCTCAGTGCTCCTATGGAGCTTGGACTAGACAGTCTCCATGGCCACTGTGAAGGCAGGCAACACTTTTCCTCTAATGCCTGTGGTTGTAAGGTGGCATCACTTGAAACGGACCCATCTGAGAACTCTGCGGGGCTGTGACACATATGCTCATGACAGCTTTTCATAGCAGACAAGCACCCTGACAGGGAATGCATGGGCTTCTTTCTCGTAACAGCCTGAACTGTAGTGGAAAGCATTTGCTAGCCCTGAAACATGCTGATTGCAACCTGCTGTGTTCATCTGCTTCTATTTAATAGCCTGTGACAAGCAAGTCTAGAGACGTAGCCTGACTGTGGTGCTCTTTAAAATCCAAGAACAGCTTAAGCAGAGTGGACTTGCACCACTGTGTTTTTAGCCTTCGTGGGCTTGAAAGAAAACATTGCATCTCAGCCTTTAATGTCAGGTTGTATCAGTTTTCTGCTTTTTGAGGCATAGTCACAATTTTTGTCTAAGGTGCAGTTGAATTCATGCCTTTGTATTTCAGCTTGTCTTTGCCGTTGTCTTTTTTGGCTGTGCCTTCACACACAGTGCCTGCAAGAAGTATTTATGAATATACAATGCATGCTAAGTGGTCTTCATGGGTTTTCCAGGCACCTGCTAGAATACTGCCTGCTGCTGACCATCGCAACCGTCAGCAGCAACTTGTCTTCCTTTTCTTGCCTTCCATTGTCCAGGTACTGTACTCCCTTTATGGTACATAGCTGTCAACAGGTGCAAGCTCAAATTTGGAGGCATGTGCTAGCTTTTAATTTCTAGCACAGAAGGAGGACGTTCGGCACAAGAGATAAATATCTATAGATATACCCACATCTATATCTCTAGATATAATTACACGGCACTTGCAGTTTTATGCAGGGTGCATAAGCAAACCCATCACTTACGCTTTAGGGCGAAGGTTCGCTCAACTTGTGTCATTTTAATAATTGTGAATGTAGGCAGCTGAGCTTTTGTGTTTGTGCATCACAGAATTTTACTGAAAACAGGATTCCCAAGTGGAAATGTCCAAAGGACTCTCCTCCCATTGCTAATGCATGTCTTGTGAACTTAAATGAAACCGTTTGGCCATCTCAAAACAGTTTAGATCCTGTTTCAATCTGGGACTTGGAGGAGATTTCTAGTATAAGCAGGGCCCAGCATATTCTGCAGATTTGTGACTACAGTTTCCAACTCCTGTGACAGAATTACGCTTCTAAATCCAGGCTCTTAAAAAGAGGAGGAAAAAAATGTTTCCAGCCTTTGTGATTGAAAGAGGACTTTGAAACATGCTAAAAGTGTAAACTAATAGGGAAGTCTTCCTCAGTCTGCACGCAGCCTAAACTAGTAGCTTTAAGAGATCTGAATATCTCCGCTTAGTGGGATATTAACTCAGACACTTCATAGAGAAGTTTAAATATGAACACTGCTAACTATATTAATGCTGATCACTGTAGCAGAAACATCAGTCACTGTTGTATTTCACAGATCTCTATGCTGCTTTCTACATCTCCCAAGTGCCAAAAGCACCAGCTGCCAGAATCTTCAGCTTCACTTGGGCAGCTTTTATAATGCAGTAATGTGCTATCGATATAAAAATATTTTTGCATATATGCTTTTTATCACAGTTAATAAAATGGAGGCCTACTGCACTTATTTTTTAAAACTACATGAAGCTGCCAGAGAATTTCCAGTTTGCCAACCCTGCGTACTGTGAAATCCAGGATCTTGCTACACAAATGTAGACACCGCCTGCTGTGGAATACCTGAAGCCTTGACTGTAACACCCCTTTCTCCGCAGAACTCACGGGCCATCTCTGTAGAGTTCTTATTGTGTACATAGAAATCAGTTTCCTCTGCTTTCCAGCAAGGAGTATGTAGCATTTTGTGAAAACAAGGCCGCTGTATATTCTCTAAATTGGAAGGAAAAGATACCTGGTGCTCTACTCAACACTTTAAATTATTTAACTTTTTCTCTCATCATTGAAATGCCCTTTGTCCTTTTTTTCTATATGTTCCTGACCCAGATATCCAAAGTTTTCTAGGGTCTGCTTAAAGTGATTCATGGGGCCCCCAGTCTGCCCCCACACATACTCTTGAATCCCTGCTAACTCCTGTGGTGTGCCATTATTGCAAGGCGGTCCCAGAGTATTTGTATTACTTTAAACAGAGTTTCTTCAACAGAACCATTTTTTTTTTCTCTGCTTAGTAATTCTTAGCAGCACACAACTGAAGTCTCTTGCTGGTGTTGTTTCTTAACGATGATGCACCAAGTTACGTACAAGCTTCTTTGTTTCCAGCTTTCTCTAGGGAGATTCCAGTGTGTGACAATCTGGATGTTGCCCTTTTTGTACACTCTTCAGCACAGGGTGAGTGCATCTGTTACCTAGAAAGTCTTGAATTCTAAACAGGATGAAACTATTTGGGCGTTTAAAGACCAACCTGCGATTATGATGCATGACCACGTCTGCATTACTTCTCTGATCTAATTAAAGGGGTCTTGTTTCAGTTACTGTCTACATGGTACACCTTCAACTGCTGACTTACAATATGCAATGTTGATTTCAGCCTTGTACTGTAAATGTTGTTCCTCACAAAGAGAATGTGCAATAGGAAAACGGGATGATGGGTGGCATAATTTTAATGGAAAAAAAATGTGGGTAACATGCTAGCTTTCTTATAAATATGAACTACAGTTTATTTCCTTTTCCTGTGGGTTTCCCTGTTTGGAAAAGGAAAGTTGAAGATACGTGCCTGTTTCTGTGCCTGGTGAATTTCTCAAATGCAAAGGTATAACAGAGATTTGTGTGAGTTGTAATTTAAGTGTTGAACCCATGAATGTCAGGTTGTGATTGTATTGCTCATGTTTCTCAGCTTGCCATGATTATGGCTTGTTGAGATGGAGTTTAAAAACTACCACCTATTTGTATCTGTATTCCATCACATGGGATAGGCATTTTGCCAACAATGCAGGGTTTCTGTTGTTTTGTTTTGTTTTAAAACACTGGTGCTGTTTGGTCCAAGACAGAGAAGCATGTAGGGAGTGACAAGAGAAGCTGCCTGCACCGCAGAAGGGTGAAAGGACTGCAGTATTGATGCCTTGATATGATTTAACTATGCAAATATACAAATAGGTGAGGGGGGAAAATTCTTGGGTTGCATACCTAATCTCTTAGTTTTTGCTCTGTGAATTACTTGTACGTGTGTAGGTACATACATATACACACAGACATGCATGCACATATATATGCAAAGTCTTTACGTAGAAGTGATGAAACAAAACCCTTTCCTCCAAGTTATACTTGATCAATTGGTGCAAATATAACTTGCTGCTGCTAAGGGAGGATCTTGGCTAAGGGCAAACTTTGGATTTATATCTTCCAGGTTTGAAGACCTGTAAATAGCAAACAAACAGTTTGTTTAGCCTTTCTGAAGACCGTGGAATGTCATCTAGGACACATGTCCTTCCTCATACTCCGCTAATTTGGAGATTGCTGTATTTTAAATAAACGTAGTGATGGGCAACTTGTTAATTGAAAATTCTTTCCTTTAATTTGGGAACAAAAGATAATAAAAAGCAGCTGGACCTCTTCCTGGAATTCCTATCCAGTTCAGTCGATACCTCTATATTCTGGTTGACCTAGAAATCATAGCTACTGCAATAAAAATGATCAGTGTGGGAATTCAGTCTGTCTTGAGAGTAGTTGTTAGTGCTACGTACAGTGTAGGAAGCACTTTGCATCTGCAAACATGTTCTTCTTATAGCAAGTGCTGTTTGTCCTTTCTGGAAAAAGGAAATCAAGGATGAGATGTGAAGTGACTTGCCCAGAGTCATGAAAGGAATCTCCAGGTGCAGCCAGGACTGAATGAGAGGTTCCAGTTCCCTAGTGTTACCTTCAAATCACTAGGTTTTACTCTTTTTAATACATTTGTCCCTTAAAGGAACTGAAAAACAAGTTGGCATACCTTGAAGACCCACATCAGGACAGTAAGGGCTAGAATTAAACATACAAGCTGTCGTGATTTGGGGTTGTACGTGTATGGTAGCCCAGATGTTGCTCACTACTTGGTGATGCTTTGCACTACCTGCAGAGTGGAAGGCCAGCGCAATGCATCAGTGTGAATAATAGCAGCAAATGTGTGTCC